CGGGACTGGAGCTCCAGTCAACAAGCCGGGACTGGAGCTCCAGTCAACAAGCCGGGACTGGAGCTCCAGTCAACAAGCCGGGACTGGAGCTCCAGTCAACAAGCCGGGACTGGAGCTCCAGTCAACAAGCCGGGACTGGAGCTCCAGTCAACAAGCCGGGACTGGAGCTCCAGTCAACAAGCCGGGACTGGAGCTCCAGTCAACAAGCCGGGACTGGAGCTCCAGTCAACAAGCCGGGACTGGAGCTCCAGTCAACAAGCCGGGACTGGAGCTCCAGTCAACAAGCCGGGACTGGAGCTCCAGTCAACAAGCCGGGACTGGAGCTCCAGTCAACAAGCCGGGACTGGAGCTCCAGTCAACAAGCCGGGACTGGAGCTCCAGTCAACAAGCCGGGACTGGAGCTCCAGTCAACAAGCCGGGACTGGAGCTCCAGTCAACAAGCCGGGACTGGAGCTCCAGTCAACAAGCCGGGACTGGAGCTCCAGTCAACAAGCCGGGACTGGAGCTCCAGTCAACAAGCCGGGACTGGAGCTCCAGTCAACAAGCCGGGACTGGAGCTCCAGTCAACAAGCCGGGACTGGAGCTCCAGTCAACAAGCCGGGACTGGAGCTCCAGTCAACAAGCCGGGACTGGAGCTCCAGTCAACAAGCCGGGACTGGAGCTCCAGTCAACAAGCCGGGACTCACGCTCGCCACTGTGACAACCATGCTTCTTCCGCCGCCCCTCCCCTTTTCTCCTGCATCCCGTTCCCCGATTCCCCCAGCAACTATTCCTGGCGGGCAATCACCTCTCCTCCCTCGCATCACTTTTGAGTCAGCTCAGAAGTCCATCTACTTTCCCCCTTTCTCAGAAGTCCATCTACTTTCCCCCTTTCTCAGAAGTCCATCTACTTTCCCCCTTTCTCAGAAGTCCATCTACTTTCCCCCTTTCTCAGAAGTCCATCTACTTTCCCCCTTTCTCAGAAGTCCATCTACTTTCCCCCTTTCTCAGAAGTCCATCTACTTTCCCCCTTTCTCAGAAGTCCATCTACTTTCCCCCTTTCTCAGAAGTCCATCTACTTTCCCCCTTTCTCCCACTTTCTCCCCCTCCCCCTGTCCCCCAGCAACTGTTCCTGGCAGGCAATCACCTCTCCTCCCTCGCATCGCTGCCTCGACTCCCCTCCCTCGAAGTATGCTTTCTGTTCTTTTCCCATGCCCTCGCCACACCCACGCCATGCCCATGCCACGCCCGCTCTTTCCCATGCCATGCCCATATTCTCCTCACCTTCGGGCCTCCTGCTTGACAATCATTCCATTCAATGCAAACGCTGCCATGTGCACTGCTTCTGTTTCTCCCTCCCACCACCACCCCCCCCACACCTTCGTGCCTCCTGCTTCACGTTCGTTCCATCCAATGCAAACGTTGCCATGTGCACTGCTTCCCTCTCCCGTCCCACACTCCCAACCCTCCTCATCCTCACCTGCTCGCCCCCCTCCTCACCTCTGTTCCCGCCCCTTTCTTGCTCCACCCCACGCTTTCAACCGTCCTCCCTCCCACCCAACCCCTCACGCGCCCACCCCCCTACCCACCGCACCCCTCTGCACCGCTCTCAGTTCCTCTCAGTGTCCCAGAACTCACTCTGCCTCATTGACATGCCGTCTCAACCCCGGCTCAAGGTGAGCTTAACCAAACTCAACCGAGCTGAAATGAGCTGAACCAAGCTTAACACAGTCACAGACACTTGCCGCCGTCGCCGACTTGCCTTGTCACCTTTCTCCCACCATGGGTTATGCGTGCTCACTGAAAATGGATGAGATAACCTCACAGCTTTCTCTGTCAGCGCACCATTCCTTCTTTCCATCCATCAACCAATCTGCCCCTCTGTCTTCCACCAGGTGCTCACAGCCACCAGCAACAGCATCGCCTCCTTCGAATCCTTCCCCCTCCTGCCCGCCCTAGAGGTCCGTGCCCCACCTTGCCTCACTTTTCCCTACCTTTCCCCACCTTGCCCCACCCTGCACCACCTTGACCCACCTTCACCCACCTACCCGCCCTAGAGGTCCGTGCGCCGCCTTGCTACGTACCCCCTACCTACCCATACTCCATATTCCATGCCCTTGTGCCCTGTGCTCCATGCTCCGTGTACCTCCATACAACTTCTGATCTTTGCTCAGTCCCATGCAACTCCCGTCTCCGATCGTCCTCTTTTCCCCCTGACAGCTCCTGCGTGTGGTGTAGACGACAACCCCATAAAGGACCCGCCTGCTCCCTCTCCCTTTCCCTCTGTACCCCCCTGCTTCACCCACTAGCAGCACTGCGTTTGGACGTCGACCCAATAGAGGACTCCCCTGCTCCGCCCTTCACGTGATAGAAATGTTGTTTGGAGACGTCTCAAAACAACACTTTCCCTCTTCAACCCCCCCTCAGCACCTGCGTCTGGACGACAACCCAATAGAGGACGCCCCTGCGCCGCACTTTGCGGCCATTCTGCTTGCCACTTCCTCGCTCGTCTCCTTCAACTCCTCAGGTGCTTTTCTCCTGCTCTCTCATCTCCCTTACTTTAAGAATGCGAATGCACGTCAGTTGCCCCTTTCCATGATTGGCTGTTCCTTGATTTGGTTCGATCATCATGTGCAGGGCAGGGCTCTCTCCCGTGAATACATGTGTTTGCACATGCACACATGCATGCGTGCATGTCTGTCTTTGTTCGCATCTGTGCATGCATGTCTGTGTGTGTTCGCATGTGTGCATGCATGCATGTGTGTGTGAGCAGCCATAAGTGAGGATGACCGTGCAGAGGTGGAGGAAGCGGGGGGAGGGCACGGGCCCATGTGTGTGCGCATGGGGTGGCTGCCCCCGTCCCCATTGATCGCTGATATACCAGGTACTGCCCTTGCACTGATGCGGGGATCAGGGGTGGGCGGCTGCATTTTAACAAGGAAGCAGGAGGAGGGCACGGGCCCATGTGTGTGCGCATGGGGTGGCTGCCTCCATTTCCTCTCATCTCCGACATACCAGGTAAGAACCGCCTATGCCTCTGCTTCTCACGCCATTGCTTGCTCCAGGTACTCATGTGTGGGAGGAGGGCACAGGCCCATGTGTGTGCGCATGGGGTGGCTGCCGCCATCCCCACTAAATCACAGACATACCAGGTACCATCGCTGCTCCTCACAGCATTTGCTGTCTGTACCTACCCATGTGTGCGGGGAGGGCACGGGCCCATGTGTGTGCGCATGGGATGGCTGCCCCCGTCTGCTTCCATTAGCGACATACCGGGTACCACCTGCGGTTGCGGGCTCACAAGGTGGGGATGGGTGGGGATGGGTGGGGAGGGCACGGGCCTCTGCCAATGCTGCTCGCGTTGCACTGGGCGCCAATGCTCCCTGCCGCCTTCACCCTCGCCTCGCTGCTGCTTGACCGGCACATATCCCGTCCAACCTCCCAACTGTGCACGTTCCCCCCTCTCCCTCCCCAGCCTCCCTGGTATCCTTCCTCGCATTGCACTGGGCGCCCATGCTCCCTGCCGGCTACACCCTCGCCTCATTGCTCCTTGATCGCCCCATCGAGGACCGCCCCTGCCACTGCCGCCTGCTGCTGCAGCGCTCTGGTGCTGGCACACTGGCGAGGAGGGATAGATGGAAGGATGGGGACGAGGGTGGGGTGGAGGATGGGGAGGAGAATGGGGGAAAGGATGGGGATGAGGATGGGGTGGAGGATGTGGAAGTGGAAGACGGAGAGGAGGGAGTTGGACCAAGGGAGAGGGGAAAGGAGAGGGATGGAGGGGAGGAGGTGTCATCGGGTGTGGCGATGCGGTATGAGTGGTTACGGCGAGGCAAAGGGGCGACGGAGTTCTCTGCAATTCCCGATGCCGAGGGGGAGGTGAGGAGACATTTCTTGAGTAGCCTCAAGATCCAGGCGTGTTGTGCATGGGAGCCATATGCATTGCATTGCTCCCTCCCACCACTGTCTGCTTTAACGCCCTCCGTGACTCTGTCTCTAACATGCACACGTGTCACTCACATTATCCCCCTCGCCCACCCCTCTCGTCTCTCCCATCCCACCAGGTGTACACGCCCTCCCTCCCGGACATGCACGCGTGTCTCGCCATGTGCTGCGCTCTAGAGGCAGACGCCTCAGAACCACCCTGCATCTCACCACCCTGCCTCCCAACACCCTGCCTCCCGCCACCCTCTCACCCCATATCTCACCAGGTCTACACGCCCTCCTTCTCGGACGTGCACGCGTGCCTGGCTGTGCGCTGCACCCCGCTGCTCCACGGCCAGCCCTGCACGCCCCTCCTCCTCACCACCCCGCCAGTCGCCCCTGGTACGTTCCTAATCCAACACCAGAGACGACCGGTGTATGTATGTGCCATGCCGTGAGGATTTGTGGTGTCAAGGTATGTGCGCTGCACCCTGCTGCTCCCAGGCCATCCCTGCACGCCCCTCCTGCTCACCACCCCGCCAGTCGTCCCTGGCACGTTCCTAATCCAGCTCCCTTCTATGTGCCATGAGGTTCTCTTGACTCAGATTATGAGCACTCCGCAATGGAAGGTTCGAGGCAATGCCCCCAATATCTTTTCACTCTGCCATGCTGCCATGCATGGCACTCTGCCATGCTGTGGAGGTTCTGTTCGTGTGGGTGCTCTGTTCGTCCTCTCTGCGTGTCCACGTTTGAGCATCCCAGAAATCTTCCCACATCCCACTGTGCTTCCATGCACCCATGCACTTATGCACCCATTTGCCCCCACACAGGTCCTGGCATACCACGAGTGCAGCACGTGTCGCTGGGAGGGGAGGCGGTGGAGGGGGGTGTGTTGACAGCCTATGTGTGTGCGCCTTTGTATCTCTGATTTATGCCTCTCTGCATCAACACACCCATGCCCCCACACAGGTCCGGGCATACCCCGAGTGCACCATGTGTCGCTGGGAGGGGAGGCAGTGGAAGGGGGGGTCCTGACAGCCATGGTGGAGGTGGGGTGGAGCTCGGGCGAGCCAGGGCCCTGCCAGTACAGGTGTGTTTTGAGACAGGGTTTACCCAGCCGTATTTGGGTCCCACCATTGAGCATAGATGATCACAGGTGTAGGCTGGGTATGCTGACAGCCATGGTGGATGTTGGGTGGAGCGGGCGAACCTGGGCCGTGCCAGTACAGGTGGAGGCTAGGACAGTGCAGTAGAACGTCCAAGATGCTTCTTGTATTGACTCGACAAAAAAGGCTAATAATTACACACGCAGTTTCAATTTACTCTTTTTTTTTTGTTCCGAGGTACAACTGGCCTTCAAGGTTCTCCCTCTCTGTTGCCCCTCCCCTTGGCTTTTCTCCTTCATTGCACTGTGCCTGCCTGCCCACCCAACCTTACAGTGCGCTTGTTCTCGCCCCCTCCCCTGTCCCTCCACCCAAACCAAAGGCTCCTCTTCCTCCTTCTCCACCTCCCCCTCTCATACCCAACCCCCACCTCTCAGTTGGACTCGCCTGTCGCCCACAGCACAGGGCGGGACAACAAGGGAGGAGGTGCAGAGGGGTGGGGAGGAGTACTCTCTCTCGCTGCATGACGTGGGGTGTGTGCTGCAGCTCTCCTTCACCCCGGTGTCTGCTGCAGGCGTCAGGGGGGAACCCGCCTCTGCCACCTCTCCCCTTATTGCTGCTGGTGAGAATGAGAGTTGCTGGTGGGAGTGGTTGGATTCAACCTCGGAATCAGGGTGCGTTCAAGCCCAATGCTTTTTCTTCTCAAGTCCAAAAAAGGAAAGGCACGCTTATGCTGGCTCGCTGTCCCCCTTGCTTTTCCCACACTTTCCCCCATCCCCCACGCTTTTCTCCACGCCCTTCCCCCTCTCTCCCTCCAGCGCCCCCCCAGGTGCAGCAGGTGGCAGTGGAGGGGGAAGCACTGCTGGGGGGGGGTGCTGCGGGCAAGGGGAAGCTACTTTGGTGGAGTTGCTGCGAGCAATGTTATGCTTATGATGGCGACTTTTGAGTCGACTCAAAAGTCACTATGTTACGCTTTTGCTGGCTCACACCCTCCCCTTCCCTCTCCCCCTCCCCATTCCCCCTTCCCCCTCCAGCGCCCCCCCAGGTGCAGCAGGTGGCAGTGGAAGGGGAGGCGTTGCGGGGGGGAATGCTGCGGGCAAGGGGGAGCTACTGTGGTGGAGCTGCAGCGAGCAATGTTATGTTTATGCTGGCTCACACCCTGCCCCTCCCCCTACCCGTTCCCCCCAATTCCCCCTCCGGTTTTCCTTTCCCCTTCCACCTCCCCCTCTCCCTTCCCCCCTCCAGCGCCCCCCCAGGTGCAGCAGGTGGCGATGGAAGGGGAGGCGCTGCTGGGGGGGGTGCTGCGCGCCAGGGGGAGTTACTTTGGGGGGGCGGAGGGGGCGAGCCTGCTGCAGTGGTTCCGGGAGGAAGGGGGGGAGGCGGAGGAGGGAGGGGAGGACGGGGAAGACGGAAGGAGTGCGACTGGTGCTGGTGGTGGCAGTGGCCGTGTGAGGTGAGTGGGCATGGGTGGGGTGCGGTCAGGCGAGGTGAGGAAGGCATGGGTGGGGTGCGGTCAGGCGAGGTGAGGAAGGCATGGGTGGGGTGCGGTCAGGCGAGGTGAGGAAGGCATGGGTGGTGGTCTCTAGTGGTGTGATGTGAAGTGAGTGGGGCATGGGTGGTGCTGGGGGGGTTGCTGCGGGCGAGGGGGACTTACTTTGGGGGGGCGGAGGGGGCGAGTTTGCTGCAGTGCAGTGGTTCCGGGAGGAGGGGGTTGAGGCGGAGGAGGGGTTGGATGAGGGGGGAGACGGAAGGAGTGCCACTGGTGCTGGTGGCAGCAGTGGTCGTGTGAGGTGAGTGAGTGAGACGTGGCGGTGCTGGGGTGTTATGGGTGGTGCTGGGGTGGTGTGAGTGGTGTGAGAGGGTGTGAGTGGTGTGAGAGGGTGTGAGTGGTGTGAGAGGGTGTGAGTGGTGTGAGAGGGTGTGGTGTTGTTTTGTGAAGTGCAGCCCTCTCCATCCACTCGCCCCACCGCCCTCTCTCCGTTCCCCTCCTTCTCAGACTGGTGCCAGTGGGCGAGGGCAGGGAGTACGCAGTGCAGGCAGACGACGTGGGCTGCCACTCTCCCTTGCCTCAAAGGGTGGTGGCTGGCTCATGCTCCATACTCACGTCACTCGCCCCATCTCCCCCATACTCCAGACTAATACCAGTGGGCGAGGGCAGGGAGTACGCAGTGCAAGCAGACGACGTGGGCTGCCATCTGCTGCTGCGCTACACGCCAGTCGCCTCCTCAGGTGATGCAAAAGCAGCATAGCATACAGATGGGTTGTGTTGTCTGCTGCGTTCATGCAATCTCATATGTTTCCAGGTGGTTCCAGGTGGTTCCAGGTGGCTCGTCCCTCACCCCACCCCGTCGGGTTTCTGCATGCATTTCTCGACTCAACAACCCAGTTACCCTTTGACACCCCATCCCACCCCTCATCACCGCATTTCTGTAACACTGAGCAGGTCTGATCGGAGAGCCAGTCACAGCACGCTCGCCCATCATCTGCCTCCGTACACTCACCCCAAGTCACCCCATCCCACCCCTCATCACCGCATTTCTGTACCACTGAGCAGGTTTAATAGGAGAGCCCGTCACAGCACGCTCGCCCATCATCTGCCTCCGTATGTGCCACTCCCTGCCCTTCCTTGTCCTTCCCTGACCTTCCCTTCCCTGCCCTGTCCTGCCCTGCTATCACACATAGCTATGCTGTTTGTTCCAAGCTTGTGCCAAGGATCTCGATCATGCTCTCCTCCATGCATACATCCTCTCATGAACCTAACACTCACACCCTAGAAGAACCTCAACCCTGAACTCTTCTGTCGTGCACTCACTGCTTCATCCACCAGCCTGCACCATCCTCCTTTCCCCCAAACCTCTCTCTCTTTCCAGCCATCCCCTTTCCCGTTCTCCTTCTTCCTTCGCTTCTCCGCTGGTGGAAGGTGGGTGGGGAGGTGCGGGTGCGAGCGCGGTTGCAATGGGCGGAGGAGGGGCGCAGCGAGGTGGAATGGTTCTTCACTTAAAGCCCGCTTCCTTCTTTCCCACCGCCCTCTCCCTCCCCCCTCTCCCCTTCCCATTCCACCAGCCCTGCCGCGAGCCAGCGACGTGGCAATAGAGGGCCCACTGGTGGAAGGCGGGGAGGTGCGGGTGCGAGCATGCCTCAGTGACCGCTTCTGTATTTCTTCCTTTACTCCTCGCCTGTCTCCTTCCCCCACCACCAGCGCTGCCGCGAGCCAGCGATGTGGCAATAGAGGGGCCTCTGGTGGAGGGGGCTGAGGTGCGGGTGCGAGCGCGGTTGCAATGGGCGGAGGAGGGGCGCAGCGAGGTGGAATGGTTCTTCACTTAAAGCCCGCTTCCTTCTTTCCCACCGCCCTCTCCCTCCCCCCTCTCCCCTTCCCATTCCACCAGCCCTGCCGCGAGCCAGCGACGTGGCAATAGAGGGCCCACTGGTGGAAGGCGGGGAGGTGCGGGTGCGAGCATGCCTCAGTGACCGCTTCTGTATTTCTTCCTTTACTCCTCGCCTGTCTCCTTCCCCCACCACCAGCGCTGCCGCGAGCCAGCGATGTGGCAATAGAGGGGCCTCTGGTGGAGGGGGCTGAGGTGCGGGTGCGAGCGCGGTTGCAATGGGCGGAGGAGGGGCGCAGCGAGGTGGAATGGTTCTTCACTTAAAGCCCGCTTCCTTCTTTCCCACCGCCCTCTCCCTCCCCCCTCTCCCCTTCCCATTCCACCAGCCCTGCCGCGAGCCAGCGACGTGGCAATAGAGGGCCCACTGGTGGAAGGCGGGGAGGTGCGGGTGCGAGCATGCCTCAGTGACCGCTTCTGTATTTCTTCCTTTACTCCTCGCCTGTCTCCTTCCCCCACCACCAGCGCTGCCGCGAGCCAGCGATGTGGCAATAGAGGGGCCTCTGGTGGAGGGGGCTGAGGTGCGGGTGCGAGCGCGGTTGCAATGGGCGGAGGAGGGGCGCAGCGAGGTGGAATGGTTCTTCACTTAAAGCCCGCTTCCTTCTTTCCCACCGCCCTCTCCCTCCCCCCTCTCCCCTTCCCATTCCACCAGCCCTGCCGCGAGCCAGCGACGTGGCAATAGAGGGCCCACTGGTGGAAGGCGGGGAGGTGCGGGTGCGAGCATGCCTCAGTGACCGCTTCTGTATTTCTTCCTTTACTCCTCGCCTGTCTCCTTCCCCCACCACCAGCGCTGCCGCGAGCCAGCGATGTGGCAATAGAGGGGCCTCTGGTGGAGGGGGCTGAGGTGCGGGTGCGAGCGCGGTTGCAATGGGCGGAGGAGGGGCGCAGCGAGGTGGAATGGTTCTTCACTTAAAGCCCGCTTCCTTCTTTCCCACCGCCCTCTCCCTCCCCCCTCTCCCCTTCCCATTCCACCAGCGCTACCGCGAGCCAGCGACGTGGCAATAGAGGGGCCGCTGGTGGAGGGGGCGGAGGTGCGAGTGCGGGCGCGGTTGCAGTGGGCAAAGGAGGGTCGCAGCGAGGTGGAGTGGTTCTTCACTCACACGCCACATGCCCTTTCCACTGCTGATCTTCAACCTATCACTGCCGAGACACCCAACTCCATGGTGAGTGCAGCGGGGTGTGGTGCGGTGCAGTGGGTCGCAGCGAGGTGGAATGGTTCTTCACTCACACGCCACATGCCCTTTCCACTGCGGATCTTCAACCTATCACTGCCGAGACACCCAACTCCATGGTGAGTGGAGCGCGACGGGGTGCAGCCTGGTGGGGTGCAGCCTGGTGGGGTGCAGCCTGGTGGGGTGCAGCCTGGTGGGGCACAGCGAGGAGAGGCGTAGCGAGGAGGCATCAGATTCTTTAGACACACGCCCCATGCTCTTCCAATGACCCGGAACTCATCGCTTCTGTTCCGAGACACCTGACTCCATTGTGAGTGCGATCATCCGTCTCCTTTCCCCCTGCTACTCCAATGCTTCACTCCTCCCTGCAGCCCCTTCATTTGCTCCTTCCTCTTCCACCTCGGACCACCACCAGGTGCTCACAGTGCCTCTGGAGGCCATAGGGTCGCACCTGGCAGTGCGGCTGGTGTTTGTTTGGTGCAGGATTGGTAATCAAGATCCCTGTTCCCCTTGCCTCGTCCGTCCCTCTCTCCTTTTTTGCTCTTACCCCACCAGGCCCTCACAGTGCCTCTGGAGGCCATAGGGTCGCACCTGGCAGTGCGGCTGGTGCCGTTTGTCCGATGCAGGATTTAACACTTGATACTCAACATCCATCTTCCCCCTTTTCCCTCCTTCCCTCCCTCCAACCACCTGTACCACCACCAGGCGCTCACAGTGCCTCTAGAGGCCATAGGGTCGCACCTGGCAGTGCGGCTGGTGTTTGTTTGGTGCAGGATTGATATTCAAGATCCCTGTTCCCCTTGCCTCGTCCGTCCCTCTCTCCTTTTCCCCCTCTATCCCCACCAGGCCCTCACAGTGCCTCTGGAGGCCATAGGGTCGCACCTGGCAGTGCGGCTGGTGCCATTCGTCCGATGCAGGATTGAAAACTTGATATTCAAGATCAATATTCTCCATTTTCCCTCCTTCCTTTTCTCCCTCCCTCCCTCCAACCACCTATAACCCCACCAGGCGCTCACAGTGCCTCTGGAGGCCATAGGGTCGCACCTGGCAGTGCGGCTGGTGCCGGTGCGAGCAGATGGTGTGAAGGGCAGGCCTGTGGTCGCCGTGTCCTCTGCTGCAGTCACAGGTGGGTAGGTGATAGGCCTGTGCGTGTGTCTACTAGTGCAGTTACAGGTGTGTGGGCTGTGGCAGTTCGGCTGGTGCCGGTGCGGGCAGATGGTGTAAAGGGCAGGCCTGTGGTCGCCGTGTCCTCTGCTGCAGTCACAGGTACGTGAATCGTAGGCATGTGTAGTGTGTGTACTAGTGCAGTGCGGTCACAGGTGGACGAGTGGATGGCATGTCCGGCTGGTGCCGGTGCGGGCAGGTGGTGTGAAGGGCAGGCCTGTGGTGGCCGTGTCCTCTGCTGCAGTCACAGGTGGGTGAATGGTAGACATGTGTGTGTACTAGTGCAGTGCAGTCACAGGTGGACGAGAGGATTTGGAGGATGCTGTTGATTCACTTGTTTCCCTGCCTCATTCCTCTTCCCGCGCCCACCTCCTCCCCTTTCTCCCCCCCAGAGGGCGAGCCACCGGTGTTGAGTGCGGATATGGAGGGCGAGGAGGAGGAGGGGGGCGTGCTGGTGATGGGATATTACTCTCCACATCTAACAGGAAGGCTCTGTCTGTCTTAGGTGTGGGCCTGTAGATTCACACTTTCTCCCTTACTGCATCCCATTCGCCCCTTTCTCCCCACCAGAGGGCGAGCCGCAGGTGCTGAGTGCGGACATGGAGGGGGAGGAGGAGGAAGGTGGTGTGCTGGTGGGGTATTACACGTACCAGGGAGGCGCCGAGGGGGACTCGCTGCTCGAGTGGTACCGATACGCGGTGAGTGGGGGTGCAATGCGGTGAGTGGTGGTCGAATGCGGTATGCGGTGGTTGAATGCGGTGAGTGGTGGTGAATGCAATGTGGATATGGAGGGGGAGGAGGAAGGGGGTGTGCTGGTGGGGTATTACACGTACCAGGGAGGGGCTGACGGGGACTCGCTGCTCGAGTGGTACCGATATGCGGTGAGTGGCGGTGCAATGCGGTGAGCGGTGGTTGACTGCGGTGAGTTGTGGTGAAATGCAGTTAGTGGGTGGCAGAATACAGTGATTGACGGCGCTTCTCCATTTCCCAGCCACCACCTTCCAAGTTCAATCCTCCCACCCACCCACCCACCCCCCTCCGCCGCCCACCCCCCTCCGCCGCCCACCCCCCTCTGCCGCCCAGGACGAGGAGGGCCAGCCGGGGCCACACGGCGAGCTGGTGGAGGACGAGGATGGCGAGCAGCCGCGGATGGCGGGGGGGGGCATGAGCAGGCACGTTCCGTCCGCTAGCGACGTCGGCTGCTTCCTCTCCTTCCGCGTCACCCCTGTGCGATCCGACGGGGCGGTCGGCACCCCGCAGGCCGTCTGCACGGCCGGCCCGATCCGGGCGGCGCTGCCGTCCGTTAGTGACGTGTGGGTGGAGGGCGATCTGGTGGAGGGCGGGCGGCTGCTGCCCAGGTGGACGTATGCGGGCGGCAGGCAGGGCAACACACGCGTGCAATGGTTCTCGGTACGTGCGAGTCCCTTGTTATGCAGTGAATTTCGAGGTTCCTGGCTCGGTATGTAGGAGTCCCTATGATCATCCGCTTGCCCATTTGCATGTGAAAGCTCGCTAGCTTGCTTGCTTGTGCTGCCAACCCCAACATGTTTTTTTTTTTTTTTTTTTTAACCCCGAATTGCCAATCGCCACATAGTCATTCCAACAATACTCCTCCCGATTCCCACTTACCGCTCCCCCACCCATCCCCACCGCTCTCCATCCCTGCAGATGCTGCCAGACATGAGTGACAGGCGCCGCATACACCCCCTCAACCACCAGGAGGAGGAGGAGGGGGAGGAGGAGGGGGAGGAGGAGGGGGAGGAGGAGGGGGAGGAGGAGGGGGGGCTGCGAGTGGGGGCGGAGGAGGTGGGGCGGGTGGTGGTGGTGGTGTGCGTGCCTGTGAGGGTCGATGGGGAGGAGGGCGCTGCTGTGGAGAGCAGTCCTGTTGGGCCCATCATGGCAGGTAGGGGGCAAGGGAGAGGGGCGGGCAAGGGAAGAAAGGGTTAGAACAGGAACAGGGTGGTGGTGGTGGTGTGTGTGCCGGTGAGGGACGATGGGGAGGAGGGCGCTGCTGTGGAGAGCGGTCCTGTTCGCCCCATCATGGCAGGTAGGAGGCAAGGGGAAGAAGGGGTTAGAAGAGGAACAGGGTGGTGGTAGTGGTGTGCGTGCTGGTGAGGGACGATGGGGAGGAGGGCGCTGCTGTGGAGAGCGGTCCTGTCCTGTGGGACCTATGCCAGGTAAGGGGGGAGGGGGTGGGTGAGGAGGTTGCGCAGCTCACTTTCATGAGGTTTCTCTCATGCTCTCACGCCCCTCTACTCTTCCCCCTTCCTGTCGTCCCCCTCTCTCCCCCTCTCTGTCTGCCCGCACAGCCCCTCCAGCGTGTGTGCGTCTGGAGGTGGAGGGGGACGTGAGGCCGGGAGGGCACTTCACCTGCAAGGCATGCCCTTTCATGCACTCCACCCCGTCTCTTTCCCCTCGACCCCCGCCTCTCCGCCCACTCCCCGTCCGTGCCCGCACAGCCCCTCCAGCGTGTGTGCGTCTGGAGGTGGAGGGCGATGTGCGGCCGGGAGGGCACCTCACCTGCAAGGCACTCTACCATGGCGGGTACTGTGCTCCGTCCCACACGCTTCAACCTGCTTCTCCTTCACCTTGCATGTGCTGTGTGTGCGTGTGCTTTGCCCTCTTGAGTTTTGACGTGTATGCGCTGTGATGGGCATGCGCAATCTTGTCTCAGTTGCCCCATATTTAAGCTTGTCACTTAGCCGTGTTTGTATGCATGCAGGGCACAGTTGCCACTCATTTTCTCGTGCACCCATCCTCCCCTCTCCCCCATCCGCCCCATACGCCTCCCCTCCTTAGTTGCGGAAGACGCGTCTAGCGTCTTAGACGCGTCCGTCTAGACGCAGCGTCTAAGACGCGACGCTAGACAGTATAGATTAGACGCAGTATTAGACGAAAACCCGGGCAGGCCTAAAAAATCGGGCAGACCAAAAAAGGTTTTATGGGGCATGGGGAGTGTGGGGGACATGCACCTATGTCACAATGAGGTGAAATTTTCCTCGTACCATAAAATTTTCCCCATTCCTCGTACAAAAAATTTCACATCTCATAATAAATGATTGGGGGGGATTCAAATTTCCTTGGGAGGCTGGTTTATATGGTCGAAATGGGTGGGAAGGGGTTCAAATGGTGTGAAATTGAATATCGCCTTGAAATGGCGAATTTCATTTTCGCGCGCGCGATTTTTTTCGCGCTGCTCGAATTTTTTTTGCCCAAGCGTCTTGCGTCTAAAAGTGTTTCTTGCGTCTAGCGTCGAGACGCTGCGTCTAGACGCTAGACGCAAGACGCGTATAGCGTCTTCCGCAACCCCATCAGGTTCGTCCCCATCAGGTTCGTCCCCATCAGGTTCGTCCCCATCAGGTTCGTCCCCATCAGGTTCGTCCCCATCAGGTTCGTCCCCATCAGGTTCGTCCCCATCAGGTTCGTCCCCATCAGGTTCGTCCCCATCAGGTTCGTCCCCATCAGGTTCGTCCCCATCAGGTTCGTCCCCATCAGGTCCGCCCCCATCAGGTTCGTCCCCATCAGGTTCGTCCCCATCAGGTTCGCCCCCATCCCATCAGGTTCGTCCCCATCAGGTTCGTCCCCATCAGGCTCGTCCCCATCAGGTCCCCATCAGGTTGCGGAAGACGCGTCTAGCGTCTGTCTAGACGCAGCGTCTAAGACGCTAGACAGTATAGATTAGACGCAGTATTAGACGGAAACCCGGGCAGGCCTAAAAAAAAGTTCAGGCAGACCAAAAGAAGTTCTATGGGGCATGGGGAGGGTTGGGGACATGCACCTATGTCACAATGAGGTGAAAATTTCCCCGTACCATAATCTTTTCCCCATTCTAAGACTTCACAAAATTTTTCACAGCTCATAACATGATTCGGGGGGATTCAAATTTGCTTGGGGGGCTGGTTTATATGGTTGAAATGGGTGGGAAGGGGTTCTAATGGCGTGAAATTGAATTTCGCGTCGAAATGACAAATTCAATTTCGCGCGCGTGATTTTTTTCCGAGCTGCCCGAAAATTTCCGCCCAAGCGTCTTGCGTCTAAAAGTGTTTCTTGCGTCTAGCGTCGAGACGCTGCGTCTAGACGCTAGACGCAAGACGCGTATAGCGTCTTCCGCAACTCAGCTCCCCTTCCCCCATCCACATCCTTCCACGTGCCTCCCTTCATCTTCCTCCCCAATTTGTCCCATGTGCCCCATCTGCCGCTTCTCTCTCTGCAGGCAGCAGGGCGAGTGTCAGGTGGCGTGGGTGAGAGTGACGCCTACAGGAGAGGAGCAGCTGGTTGGGCGGCAAGGTGAGGAGCGGTTGGGCGGCAAAGTGACAGGTGGTTGGGCGGCACAGAAGGCAGCAGGGCGAGTGTCGGGTGGCGTGGGTGAGAGTGATGCCTACAGGGAAGGTACAACTTGTTGGGCGGCAAGGTGAGGAGTGGTTGGGCGGCAAGGTGAGGAGCGGTTGGGCGGCAAGGTGAGGAGCGGTTGGGCGGCAAGGTGAGGAGCGGTTGGGCGGCAAGGTGAGGAGCGGTTGGGCGGCAAGGTGAGGAGCGGTTGGGCGGCAAGGTGAGGAGCGGTTGGGCGGCAAGGTGAGGAGCGGTTGGGCGGCAAGGTGAGGAGCGGTTGGGCGGCAAGGTGAGCTGGTCGGGCGGCAAAGTGAGAGGTGATTGGGCAGCACAGGAGGCAGCAGGGCGAGTGTCGGGTGGCGTGGGTGAGAGTGATGCCCTCAGGGGACGAGCAGCTCGTTGGGCAGCAAGGTGAGCGACGGTTGGGCGGCACGATGAGCGACGGTTGGGTGGCACTGTGGAGACTGTGACTTTGGCAGGTTCTTCAGTGGAATACACACTGTCAATGCGATTGCTTCATATGGTTACACTACTCACCCACGCACCTATGCAACGACAGCTCAAGTCATGACTCATATGGTGGTTTGCTATAGCCTAGGCTAGGTCCCATATGCTGCCCCCTGCCCTGGCCAAGCACACGTACGCAGAGACAGCAGAGGAATGTACCTGATCTTGAGGCGCCCATTCTTGAGGCCTCTCTGGTGACTGTCTGAAAATATATTTTCCGCCTCTCTCCTGTACCATACTTGCAGGCACATACACAGTGACAGCGGAGGATGCTGCGAGTGGAGTTCACTCCTGTGCGGGCCGATGGGGCTGTTGGGGAGGTTGCACCCATTTATGAGGCGCCTGTGTGTGTCTGAATGGCCCCTTCTGCCCTGCCGCTTCCTGCAGGCACGCACACGGTGACAGCGGAGGACGTGGGGAGTCGGCTGCGAGAGGAGTTCACTCCTGTGTGGGCTGATGGGGCTGCTTGGGAGGCGGCTGCTCTTGTGAAGGGTTCTGCTCACTCTGCCTACCTGTACCCCTACCCCCTCCCATGCAGGCACGCACAGGGTGACAGCAGAGGACGTGGAGAGTCGCCTGCGAGTGAAGTTCACTCCTGTGCGGGCCGATGGGGCTGCTGGGGTTGATAGGGCTGCTGGGGAGGTTACCGCTGTTACAACCAGTATAGTCACACCAGGTGCCTGCCTCTCTACCTTGCAGGCAAATACACGGTGACAGCAGGGGATGTGGGGAGTCGGCTGCGAGTGGAGTTCACTCCTGTGCGGGCTGATGGGGTGGTTGGGGAGGTGGCTGCTGCCACCACCGATACAGTCACACCAGGTGCTCCTTTCATAAATGGCTGCTTAGTCACACCAGTCGGTCACACCAGGTGCTACCTTCCTGTTTTTTTTCATTCAGTGCACTGCTGCATTCACTCCTGTGCGGGCCCATGGGGCTGCTGGGGAGGTGGCTGCTCTCACTACCGATACAGTCACACCAGGTGCTGCCCTTATGATTGTCTTTCCAATCCACTGCTGCATTCACTCCTGTGCGGGCTGATGGGGCGGTTGGGGAGTTGGCTGCTGTTACCACCGATACAGTCACACCAGGCACTCCTGTCATGGACGCTCAGTCACCCCAGTTAGTCACCCCAGTTAGTCACACCAGGCCGCTCACATGCTCTTCCTGCTTCTGCCCCCTTCCTGCTCCGCCGCTCCCCCACTCCCCTGCTCACCCACACCAACACTCCCTTCCTCCCCTGCCTTTCAGACCGCCGAGTGTGCATCAGTGTGTCGGAGGGGGGCGTGTTGCAGGCAGGAGGGGAGATGCCCCACCCCACCCCCTTACCCCCACTCAACTGCCCCTTTCCCCTGTCGCCCTCCTTCCCTCCCCACAGACCATCGTGTGTGCATCAGTGTGTTGGAGGGGGGCGTGTTACAGGCAGGCGGGGAGATGCTAGAGCGTGCAGCAGCGGGGGAGAGGGGAGGGGGAGAAGGCGAGCTGGGGGAGGGGAGACCAGGGGAGGGCGGAAGGGGAGAAGGGGGAGCGGGGGAGGGGGACGTATGGGTGGTGTGGTACAGGCAGGGGCGGGATGGGCGGATGGAGCGGATAGAAGGGGCGGAGGGGCGCACGTACGTGCCTCAGGAGGCTGATTATGGCTGCTGTGTGGTGGCGGGGTGAGTGGGGTTTAGTTGGGGGCGTATGAGTATTGATGCACGCACCTCAATAGGCGCATTGAAGGAGGGGAGGCTGATTATGGCTGCTGTGTGGTGGGGTGAGTGGGTATCCATTGTGGCTGGGCTGCTGTGGTGACTGACTCATGAGGGTGATTGGGAGTTTGTGATGTCATGCCATGTCATTGCTCTCTCTGTGCTGCCTTCACACTCCTCCCTGCACCACCCTCTTCCTCTCCACTCCCCTGCTAGCTCCCCCACTCCCTACCCCACCCCTGCCCACTTTCGCCCAGCCCAACCAACTGTCGCTGTGAGATTCACAGAAAGTCCCTGCTTTCGCCCACTCCCTCTGCTCCCTCGCTCCCTCCCTACCCCACCAGCTGTCGCCCGTGGCTATCCGATGGCACGTGGGGCGACGAGGTGTTCTCTGCCCCGTGTCTCATCGTCCGCCACTTCCCCCCTCACTTCCTCCTTTCCACTCCCTCCCTCACTCCCTCAGCTGTCGGCCGTGGCTATCTGATGGCACGTGGGGAGACGAGGTGCTCTCTGCTCCGGGGCCCATCGTACTGCCAGGTCAGCTGCATTGCCAGGTCAGCTGCATTGCCAGGTCAGCTGCAGCTGTATTGCCAGGTCAGCCTGTATTACAGCACCTCCTTCTTTCCCCTCTCCATCTTCTCGAAACCCACACTCCACCCACCACCATTCACCACCCAAACCACCCCCCACCACCCCTTACCACTGCACACCAGAACTGTCGGACGAGGAGGCGGTGTCACTGGAGGTGGAGGGGCGGGCCGAGGTGGGGGCAGTGCTCCACGCCCTGCATGCCGTGTCTCCTGCTCTCGAGCCCTTCGTCACAGCCATTCACATGCAGTGGTGAGTCCCACAAACACAGGCACTGGTGACCCCATCTCATTTGCGCTGGTGAGCTGTGAGTCGAGTTTACCCACCCCTGTTGCACACCCTGCATGCCGTGTCTCCCGCACTTGACCCCTTTGTCACGGCCGTCCACATGTAGTGGTAAGCTGGCTGCTGGATGACTCATTTGCACTGGTGAACCATGGGTGAAGTCCACTCTCTAGTGCTGCACGCCCTGCATGCTGTGCCGCCTGCCCTTGAGCCATTCGTCACAGCCATTCGCGCGCACGGATCAAGGCACACGCATGGACCAAGGCGCGCACGTGGACCAAGGAACGCGCGCCCGGACCAAGGCGCGCGCCCGGACCAAGGCGCGCGCCCAGACCAAGGCGCGCCCCCGGACCAGGGCGCGCCCCTGGTCCAAGGCGCGCGCCCGGACCAAGGCGCGCGCCCGGACCAAGGCGCGCCCCCGGACCAAGGCGCGCCCCCGGACCAAGGCGCGCCCCCGGACCAAGGCGCGCCCCCGGACCAAGGCGCGCCCCCGGACCAAGGCGCGCCCCCGGACCAAGGCGCGCCCCCGGACCAAGGCGCGCCCCCGGACCAAGGCGCGCCCCCGGACCAAGGCGCGCCCCCGGACCAAGGCGCGCCCCCGGACCAAGGCGCGCCCCCGGACCAAGGCGCGCCCCCGGACCAAGGCGCGCCCCCGGACCAAGGCGCGCCCCCGGACCAAGGCGCGCGCCCGGACCAAGGCGCGCGCCCGGACCAAGGCGCGCCCCCGGACCAAGGCGCGCCCCCGGACCAAGGCGCGCCCCCGGACCAAGGTGCCCCCCGGGACCAAGGCGGCGCCCGGACAAAGGCGCGCGCCCTGACCAAGGCGCGCCCCCGGACCAAGGCGCGCCCCCGGACCAAGGCGCGCCCCCGGACCAAGGCGCGCCCCCGGACCAAGGCGCGCCCCCGGACCAAGGCGCGCCCCGTGACCAAGGAGCGCGCCCGGACCAAGGCGCGCCCCCGGACCAAGGCGCGCCCCCGGACCAAGGCGCGCCCCCGGACCAAGGCGCGCGCCCGGACCAAGGCGCGCGCCCGGACCAAGGCGCGCCCCCGGACCAAGGCGCGCCCCCGGACCAAGGCGCGCCCCCGGACCAAGGCGCGCCCCCGGACCAAGGCGCGCCCCCGGACCAAGGCGCGCCCCCGGACCAAGGCGCGCCCCCGGACCAAGGCGCGCCCCGTGACCAAGGAGCGCGCCCGGACCAAGGCGCGCCCCCGGACCAAGGCGCGCCCCCGGACCAAGGCGCGCCCCCGGACCAAGGCGCGCCCCCGGACCAAGGCGCGCCCCCGGACCAAGGCGCGCCCCCGGACCAAGGCGCGCCCCCGGACCAAGGCGCGCGCCCGGACCAAGGCGCGCCCCCGGACCAAGGCGCGCCCCCGGACCAAGGCGCGCGCCCGGACCAAGGCGCGCCCCCGGACCAAGGCGCGCCCCCGGACCAAGGTGCCCCCCGGGACCAAGGCGTCGCCCGGACCAAGGCGCGCCCCCGGACCAAGGCGCGCCCCCGGACCAAGGCGCGCCCCCGGACCAAGGCGCGCCCCCGGACCAAGTCGGTTGTTGGAACCCATGACCAATCGTGCTTGCTTCACTCCCGCACCCTTTCTTGAACATTTAGGAGTCCGTGCACTCACAGACGTGCTCTCCATAGCAAAGCAAAATGCTCGTTTTGGCCGTCGGTAGCGTCAAACGTGAAACAATCCGCCCCCGTATTAATAATGAAGCAAGCAATCACAGGTACTACATGGTATCAATCGCCACCAGATGGCAGGTTAGCAGGGGCTCTGACTCGCACCTACCGATGCCACTAAATCTCTCCTCTCTCTCCTGCTCATCCCTTCCTCGCCAGGTGGCAGGCCAGCAGTGGCTCCGACTCGCACCTACCGATGTCACGGCAATCACACACCTCGTCAACCCCTTTTCACTGCCACCTCCGCCACCTCCGCCACCTTAATCTCTCACCCCTCTCCCGCTCATCCCATCCTCACCACATGGCAGGTTAGCAGGTGCTCTGACTCGCTCGCACCTACCAATGTCTACCTAATCACTCCCTCCTCTCCCCCTTCCGTTCCCGCCAGGTGGCAGGCCAGCAGCGGCTCCGACTCGCACCGCCCGATCGACGGCGCCACGTCAGCGCGCCTGCCAGTGACGGAGCGCCACGTGGGCGCGTACCTGCTGTGCTCCGCCACCGTTCTCGACTCGTTCGGCCGCTCGTTCAACTCTGTTGCCACCACCGCCACCCCCATCGCTCCTGCACCTGCTAACCTTATCTCCGTTCCTGCCTTTCCAGCCACTTCTGAGGCTGCTACTGCTGCTGCTGCCCCCGCTGCAGCCTCTGCAGGCGATGCTGATGGGCTGCCTGCGTCCGAAGCCTTGCCAGCTGCTCCTGCTGCCGCCACTGCCGGCAGCGGTGGGAGTGGCGCTGCTGCAGAGGCTGCAGGCACAGAGGAGGTGCGGTGCATGCAGGGGGGGCAGCGGCGGGGTGAGGGCGAGGGGGCCGTGCTGCTGGAGGGAAGCATGGGAGGGGCACAAGGCAGGCATGAACGAGGAGTGCATGAGCAAGGGGGGCGTGAGCGAGGGCAGGAAGGCCAGGGAAGCCGCGTGGAGGAAGGGCATGAACCAGGGCGTGGAGGCATAGGGGGAGGTTATGTGGGGGAAGGAGAAGGCAGAAGGGAGAGCAGAGCGTCGGCAGAGGCAGAGAGTGCAGGGTCCCGCCCTGCAGTCAACCCCCCACACTCAGAAAGCAACACCACGCTCCGTATATCAGGAGGGCCCTACCACACGTCGCTCTTCCACCTGCACCTCCCGCCGTCCCCCCCCGCCCCCGCCTGGCTGCGCCCCTCCTCCTGCCGTATTCAATGGTTCCGCGTGCCCCCAGGGGGATTTCACGCCTTAGACCCTCAACCCATACCCGGTGAGCGCTCCAGGCAGACGTGTGTGAGGTTAGGTGCTGTGCCCCTATCACCCCACCACTCCCTTGCCTGGCTGCTCCTGCTGCATGCAGTGGTTCCCCGCGTGCCCCCAGGCGGATTCCACGCCCTGGACCCTCAACCCATACCCAATGAGTGCCCTCCCCTCCTTCCCTCCCCGTCCCTTTTCCGCCCTGTTGCAGGTGCAACGGGCACAACATACCAGGCAGACGTGGCAGACGCGCACCAGTGCCTCATGCTGGAGCTGCAGCCGCTCCCCACCCACGAGCCACGCCTATCAACCATGGCTCAAGTCAAGGTGCCTCTGGCCCGGCCCACCATCCCCCCTCCCACCCTCTTCCTTAACAGGTGCAACGGGCACAACTTATCAAGCTGACGTGGCAGACGCGTATCAGTGCCTCATGGTGGAGGTGCGGCCCCTCATCCCCCTGCCACCGCCTCCCTGTTTCCCCGTCTATCCCTTTCCGCTCCTTCCCTCCCCCCATCATCAGGTGCAACGGGCACATCATACCAAGCTGACGTGGCAGACGCGCACCAGTGCCTCATGGTGGAGCTGCGACCACTCTTTACCCAAGATGTGCACTCCCAGCAGGGGGAGGGGGAGGGGGAGGGGGAGGAGGTGGTGCTGCGAGTGCTGTCACCGCAAGTGCTCGTTGGTACGTGAAATTGCTCTCTCTCTCTATGCTCCTTGCCCATACATACCTGCACTGCACTGCATATACCTGCACTCCCAAGACGTGCACTCCCAGCAGGCGGAGGGGGAGGAGGTGGTGGTGCGAGTGCTGTCACTGCAAGTGCTTGTTGGTATGCTATGCACACTCTCTCTACGCTCATTGTCCATACACGCCTGCACTGCACCATACCTGCTGCTCCTCCCCTCTCGTTGCTCCTTGTCCATACACACCCACACTCTACCTGCTCCTTGCTCCTTGTTCCCTGCTACTCTCTCGATGTTCATCGCCCCCCTCTCTCTTTCTACCCTTCTCCGCCTCTTTCTCACTTGTGCCTCTTGCACTGTTCACGTGGCACTGCTCCGCCTTTCACCCAGCCTCCGCAGTGGCGAGGGATGTGGATCTCATAGTGGTGGCGGGCAAAGTAGCTTCACCCGACTCAGCCTCTTACCTTGCCATTCGCCTCCTTCCCTGCCGCCCACCAGACCCAGCAGTGGCGAGGGATGTGGATCTCATAGTGGTGGCGGGCAAAGTAGCTTCACCCGACTCAGCCTCTTACCTTGCCATTCGCCTCCTTCCCTGCCGCCCACCAGACCCAGCAGTGGCGAGGGATGTGGATCTCATAGTGGTGGCGGGCAAAGTAGCTTCACCCGACTCAGCCTCTTACCTTGCCATTCGCCTCCTTCCCTGCCGCCCACCAGACCCAGCAGTGGCGAGGGATGTGGATCTCATAGTGGTGGCGGGCAAAGTAGCTTCACCCGACTCAGCCTCTTACCTTGCCATTCGCCTCCTTCCCTGCCGCCCACCAGACCCAGCAGTGGCGAGGGATGTGGATCTCATAGTGGTGGCGGGCAAAGTAGCTTCACCCGACTCAGCCTCTTACCTTGCCATTCGCCTCCTTCCCTGCCGCCCACCAGACCCAGCAGTGGCGAGGGATGTGGATCTCATAGTGGTGGCGGGCAAAGTAGCTTCACCCGACTCAGCCTCTTACCTTGCCATTCGCCTCCTTCCCTGCCGCCCACCAGACCCAGCAGTGGCGAGGGATGTGGATCTCATAGTGGTGGCGGGCAAAGTAGCTTCACCCGACTCAGCCTCTTACCTTGCCATTCGCCTCCTTCCCTGCCGCCCACCAGACCCAGCAGTGGCGAGGGATGTGGATCTCATAGTGGTGGCGGGCAAAGTAGCTTCACCCGACTCAGCCTCTTACCTTGCCATTCGCCTCCTTCCCTGCCGCCCACCAGACCCAGCAGTGGCGAGGGATGTGGATCTCATAGTGGTGGCGGGCAAAGTAGCTTCACCCGACTCAGCCTCTTACCTTGCCATTCGCCTCCTTCCCTGCCGCCCACCAGACCCAGCAGTGGCGAGGGATGTGGATCTCATAGTGGTGGCGGGCAAAGTAGCTTCACCCGACTCAGCCTCTTACCTTGCCATTCGCCTCCTTCCCTGCCGCCCACCAGACCCAGCAGTGGCGAGGGATGTGGATCTCATAGTGGTGGCGGGCAAAGTAGCTTCACCCGACTCAGCCTCTTACCTTGCCATTCGCCTCCTTCCCTGCCGCCCACCAGACCCAGCAGTGGCGAGGGATGTGGATCTCATAGTGGTGGCGGGCAAAGTAGCTTCACCCGACTCAGCCTCTTACCTTGCCATTCGCCTCCTTCCCTGCCGCCCACCAGACCCAGCAGTGGCGAGGGATGTGGATCTCATAGTGGTGGCGGGCAAAGTAGCTTCACCCGACTCAGCCTCTTACCTTGCCATTCGCCTCCTTCCCTGCCGCCCACCAGACCCAGCAGTGGCGAGGGATGTGGATCTCATAGTGGTGGCGGGCAAAGTAGCTTCACCCGACTCAGCCTCTTACCTTGCCATTCGCCTCCTTCCCTGCCGCCCACCAGACCCAGCAGTGGCGAGGGATGTGGATCTCATAGTGGTGGCGGGCAAAGTAGCTTCACCCGACTCAGCCTCTTACCTTGCCATTCGCCTCCTTCCCTGCCGCCCACCAGACCCAGCAGTGGCGAGGGATGTGGATCTCATAGTGGTGGCGGGCAAAGTAGCTTCACCCGACTCAGCCTCTTACCTTGCCATTCGCCTCCTTCCCTGCCGCCCACCAGACCCAGCAGTGGCGAGGGATGTGGATCTCATAGTGGTGGCGGGCAAAGTAGCTTCACCCGACTCAGCCTCTTACCTTGCCATTCGCCTCCTTCCCTGCCGCCCACCAGACCCAGCAGTGGCGAGGGATGTGGATCTCATAGTGGTGGCGGGCAAAGTAGCTTCACCCGACTCAGCCTCTTACCTTGCCATTCGCCTCCTTCCCTGCCGCCCACCAGACCCAGCAGTGGCGAGGGATGTGGATCTCATAGTGGTGGCGGGCAAAGTAGCTTCACCCGACTCAGCCTCTTACCTTGCCATTCGCCTCCTTCCCTGCCGCCCACCAGACCCAGCAGTGGCGAGGGATGTGGATCTCATAGTGGTGGCGGGCAAAGTAGCTTCACCCGACTCAGCCTCTTACCTTGCCATTCGCCTCCTTCCCTGCCGCCCACCAGACCCAGCAGTGGCGAGGGATGTGGATCTCATAGTGGTGGCGGGCAAAGTAGCTTCACCCGACTCAGCCTCTTACCTTGCCATTCGCCTCCTTCCCTGCCGCCCACCAGACCCAGCAGTGGCGAGGGATGTGGATCTCATAGTGGTGGCGGGCAAAGTAGCTTCACCCGACTCAGCCTCTTACCTTGCCATTCGCCTCCTTCCCTGCCGCCCACCAGACCCAGCAGTGGCGAGGGATGTGGATCTCATAGTGGTGGCGGGCAAAGTAGCTTCACCCGACTCAGCCTCTTACCTTGCCATTCGCCTCCTTCCCTGCCGCCCACCAGACCCAGCAGTGGCGAGGGATGTGGATCTCATAGTGGTGGCGGGCAAAGTAGCTTCACCCGACTCAGCCTCTTACCTTGCCATTCGCCTCCTTCCCTGCCGCCCACCAGACCCAGCAGTGGCGAGGGATGTGGATCTCATAGTGGTGGCGGGCAAAGTAGCTTCACCCGACTCAGCCTCTTACCTTGCCATTCGCCTCCTTCCCTGCCGCCCACCAGACCCAGCAGTGGCGAGGGATGTGGATCTCATAGTGGTGGCGGGCAAAGTAGCTTCACCCGACTCAGCCTCTTACCTTGCCATTCGCCTCCTTCCCTGCCGCCCACCAGACCCAGCAGTGGCGAGGGATGTGGATCTCATAGTGGTGGCGGGCAAAGTAGCTTCACCCGACTCAGCCTCTTACCTTGCCATTCGCCTCCTTCCCTGCCGCCCACCAGACCCAGCAGTGGCGAGGGATGTGGATCTCATAGTGGTGGCGGGCAAAGTAGCTTCACCCGACTCAGCCTCTTACCTTGCCATTCGCCTCCTTCCCTGCCGCCCACCAGACCCAGCAGTGGCGAGGGATGTGGATCTCATAGTGGTGGCGGGCAAAGTAGCTTCACCCGACTCAGCCTCTTACCTTGCCATTCGCCTCCTTCCCTGCCGCCCACCAGACCCAGCAGTGGCGAGGGATGTGGATCTCATAGTGGTGGCGGGCAAAGTAGCTTCACCCGACTCAGCCTCTTACCTTGCCATTCGCCTCCTTCCCTGCCGCCCACCAGACCCAGCAGTGGCGAGGGATGTGGATCTCATAGTGGTGGCGGGCAAAGTAGCTTCACCCGACTCAGCCTCTTACCTTGCCATTCGCCTCCTTCCCTGCCGCCCACCAGACCCAGCAGTGGCGAGGGATGTGGATCTCATAGTGGTGGCGGGCAAAGTAGCTTCACCCGACTCAGCCTCTTACCTTGCCATTCGCCTCCTTCCCTGCCGCCCACCAGACCCAGCAGTGGCGAGGGATGTGGATCTCATAGTGGTGGCGGGCAAAGTAGCTTCACCCGACTCAGCCTCTTACCTTGCCATTCGCCTCCTTCCCTGCCGCCCACCAGACCCAGCAGTGGCGAGGGATGTGGATCTCATAGTGGTGGCGGGCAAAGTAGCTTCACCCGACTCAGCCTCTTACCTTGCCATTCGCCTCCTTCCCTGCCGCCCACCAGACCCAGCAGTGGCGAGGGATGTGGATCTCATAGTGGTGGCGGGCAAAGTAGCTTCACCCGACTCAGCCTCTTACCTTGCCATTCGCCTCCTTCCCTGCCGCCCACCAGACCCAGCAGTGGCGAGGGATGTGGATCTCATAGTGGTGGCGGGCAAAGTAGCTTCACCCGACTCAGCCTCTTACCTTGCCATTCGCCTCCTTCCCTGCCGCCCACCAGACCCAGCAGTGGCGAGGGATGTGGATCTCATAGTGGTGGCGGGCAAAGTAGCTTCACCCGACTCAGCCTCTTACCTTGCCATTCGCCTCCTTCCCTGCCGCCCACCAGACCCAGCAGTGGCGAGGGATGTGGATCTCATAGTGGTGGCGGGCAAAGTAGCTTCACCCGACTCAGCCTCTTACCTTGCCATTCGCCTCCTTCCCTGCCGCCCACCAGACCCAGCAGTGGCGAGGGATGTGGATCTCATAGTGGTGGCGGGCAAAGTAGCTTCACCCGACTCAGCCTCTTACCTTGCCATTCGCCTCCTTCCCTGCCGCCCACCAGACCCAGCAGTGGCGAGGGATGTGGATCTCATAGTGGTGGCGGGCAAAGTAGCTTCACCCGACTCAGCCTCTTACCTTGCCATTCGCCTCCTTCCCTGCCGCCCACCAGACCCAGCAGTGGCGAGGGATGTGGATCTCATAGTGGTGGCGGGCAAAGTAGCTTCACCCGACTCAGCCTCTTACCTTGCCATTCGCCTCCTTCCCTGCCGCCCACCAGACCCAGCAGTGGCGAGGGATGTGGATCTCATAGTGGTGGCGGGCAAAGTAGCTTCACCCGACTCAGCCTCTTACCTTGCCATTCGCCTCCTTCCCTGCCGCCCACCAGACCCAGCAGTGGCGAGGGATGTGGATCTCATAGTGGTGGCGGGCAAAGTAGCTTCACCCGACTCAGCCTCTTACCTTGCCATTCGCCTCCTTCCCTGCCGCCCACCAGACCCAGCAGTGGCGAGGGATGTGGATCTCATAGTGGTGGCGGGCAAAGTAGCTTCACCCGACTCAGCCTCTTACCTTGCCATTCGCCTCCTTCCCTGCCGCCCACCAGACCCAGCAGTGGCGAGGGATGTGGATCTCATAGTGGTGGCGGGCAAAGTAGCTTCACCCGACTCAGCCTCTTACCTTGCCATTCGCCTCCTTCCCTGCCGCCCACCAGACCCAGCAGTGGCGAGGGATGTGGATCTCATAGTGGTGGCGGGCAAAGTAGCTTCACCCGACTCAGCCTCTTACCTTGCCATTCGCCTCCTTCCCTGCCGCCCACCAGACCCAGCAGTGGCGAGGGATGTGGATCTCATAGTGGTGGCGGGCAAAGTAGCTTCACCCGACTCAGCCTCTTACCTTGCCATTCGCCTCCTTCCCTGCCGCCCACCAGACCCAGCAGTGGCGAGGGATGTGGATCTCATAGTGGTGGCGGGCAAAGTAGCTTCACCCGACTCAGCCTCTTACCTTGCCATTCGCCTCCTTCCCTGCCGCCCACCAGACCCAGCAGTGGCGAGGGATGTGGATCTCATAGTGGTGGCGGGCAAAGTAGCTTCACCCGACTCAGCCTCTTACCTTGCCATTCGCCTCCTTCCCTGCCGCCCACCAGACCCAGCAGTGGCGAGGGATGTGGATCTCATAGTGGTGGCGGGCAAAGTAGCTTCACCCGACTCAGCCTCTTACCTTGCCATTCGCCTCCTTCCCTGCCGCCCACCAGACCCAGCAGTGGCGAGGGATGTGGATCTCATAGTGGTGGCGGGCAAAGTAGCTTCACCCGACTCAGCCTCTTACCTTGCCATTCGCCTCCTTCCCTGCCGCCCACCAGACCCAGCAGTGGCGAGGGATGTGGATCTCATAGTGGTGGCGGGCAAAGTAGCTTCACCCGACTCAGCCTCTTACCTTGCCATTCGCCTCCTTCCCTGCCGCCCACCAGACCCAGCAGTGGCGAGGGATGTGGATCTCATAGTGGTGGCGGGCAAAGTAGCTTCACCCGACTCAGCCTCTTACCTTGCCATTCGCCTCCTTCCCTGCCGCCCACCAGACCCAGCAGTGGCGAGGGATGTGGATCTCATAGTGGTGGCGGGCAAAGTAGCTTCACCCGACTCAGCCTCTTACCTTGCCATTCGCCTCCTTCCCTGCCGCCCACCAGACCCAGCAGTGGCGAGGGATGTGGATCTCATAGTGGTGGCGGGCAAAGTAGCTTCACCCGACTCAGCCTCTTACCTTGCCATTCGCCTCCTTCCCTGCCGCCCACCAGACCCAGCAGTGGCGAGGGATGTGGATCTCATAGTGGTGGCGGGCAAAGTAGCTTCACCCGACTCAGCCTCTTACCTTGCCATTCGCCTCCTTCCCTGCCGCCCACCAGACCCAGCAGTGGCGAGGGATGTGGATCTCATAGTGGTGGCGGGCAAAGTAGCTTCACCCGACTCAGCCTCTTACCTTGCCATTCGCCTCCTTCCCTGCCGCCCACCAGACCCAGCAGTGGCGAGGGATGTGGATCTCATAGTGGTGGCGGGCAAAGTAGCTTCACCCGACTCAGCCTCTTACCTTGCCATTCGCCTCCTTCCCTGCCGCCCACCAGACCCAGCAGTGGCGAGGGATGTGGATCTCATAGTGGTGGCGGGCAAAGTAGCTTCACCCGACTCAGCCTCTTACCTTGCCATTCGCCTCCTTCCCTGCCGCCCACCAGACCCAGCAGTGGCGAGGGATGTGGATCTCATAGTGGTGGCGGGCAAAGTAGCTTCACCCGACTCAGCCTCTTACCTTGCCATTCGCCTCCTTCCCTGCCGCCCACCAGACCCAGCAGTGGCGAGGGATGTGGATCTCATAGTGGTGGCGGGCAAAGTAGCTTCACCCGACTCAGCCTCTTACCTTGCCATTCGCCTCCTTCCCTGCCGCCCACCAGACCCAGCAGTGGCGAGGGATGTGGATCTCATAGTGGTGGCGGGCAAAGTAGCTTCACCCGACTCAGCCTCTTACCTTGCCATTCGCCTCCTTCCCTGCCGCCCACCAGACCCAGCAGTGGCGAGGGATGTGGATCTCATAGTGGTGGCGGGCAAAGTAGCTTCACCCGACTCAGCCTCTTACCTTGCCATTCGCCTCCTTCCCTGCCGCCCACCAGACCCAGCAGTGGCGAGGGATGTGGATCTCATAGTGGTGGCGGGCAAAGTAGCTTCACCCGACTCAGCCTCTTACCTTGCCATTCGCCTCCTTCCCTGCCGCCCACCAGACCCAGCAGTGGCGAGGGATGTGGATCTCATAGTGGTGGCGGGCAAAGTAGCTTCACCCGACTCAGCCTCTTACCTTGCCATTCGCCTCCTTCCCTGCCGCCCACCAGACCCAGCAGTGGCGAGGGATGTGGATCTCATAGTGGTGGCGGGCAAAGTAGCTTCACCCGACTCAGCCTCTTACCTTGCCATTCGCCTCCTTCCCTGCCGCCCACCAGACCCAGCAGTGGCGAGGGATGTGGATCTCATAGTGGTGGCGGGCAAAGTAGCTTCACCCGACTCAGCCTCTTACCTTGCCATTCGCCTCCTTCCCTGCCGCCCACCAGACCCAGCAGTGGCGAGGGATGTGGATCTCATAGTGGTGGCGGGCAAAGTAGCTTCACCCGACTCAGCCTCTTACCTTGCCATTCGCCTCCTTCCCTGCCGCCCACCAGACCCAGCAGTGGCGAGGGATGTGGATCTCATAGTGGTGGCGGGCAAAGTAGCTTCACCCGACTCAGCCTCTTACCTTGCCATTCGCCTCCTTCCCTGCCGCCCACCAGACCCAGCAGTGGCGAGGGATGTGGATCTCATAGTGGTGGCGGGCAAAGTAGCTTCACCCGACTCAGCCTCTTACCTTGCCATTCGCCTCCTTCCCTGCCGCCCACCAGACCCAGCAGTGGCGAGGGATGTGGATCTCATAGTGGTGGCGGGCAAAGTAGCTTCACCCGACTCAGCCTCTTACCTTGCCATTCGCCTCCTTCCCTGCCGCCCACCAGACCCAGCAGTGGCGAGGGATGTGGATCTCATAGTGGTGGCGGGCAAAGTAGCTTCACCCGACTCAGCCTCTTACCTTGCCATTCGCCTCCTTCCCTGCCGCCCACCAGACCCAGCAGTGGCGAGGGATGTGGATCTCATAGTGGTGGCGGGCAAAGTAGCTTCACCCGACTCAGCCTCTTACCTTGCCATTCGCCTCCTTCCCTGCCGCCCACCAGACCCAGCAGTGGCGAGGGATGTGGATCTCATAGTGGTGGCGGGCAAAGTAGCTTCACCCGACTCAGCCTCTTACCTTGCCATTCGCCTCCTTCCCTGCCGCCCACCAGACCCAGCAGTGGCGAGGGATGTGGATCTCATAGTGGTGGCGGGCAAAGTAGCTTCACCCGACTCAGCCTCTTACCTTGCCATTCGCCTCCTTCCCTGCCGCCCACCAGACCCAGCAGTGGCGAGGGATGTGGATCTCATAGTGGTGGCGGGCAAAGTAGCTTCACCCGACTCAGCCTCTTACCTTGCCATTCGCCTCCTTCCCTGCCGCCCACCAGACCCAGCAGTGGCGAGGGATGTGGATCTCATAGTGGTGGCGGGCAAAGTAGCTTCACCCGACTCAGCCTCTTACCTTGCCATTCGCCTCCTTCCCTGCCGCCCACCAGACCCAGCAGTGGCGAGGGATGTGGATCTCATAGTGGTGGCGGGCAAAGTAGCTTCACCCGACTCAGCCTCTTACCTTGCCATTCGCCTCCTTCCCTGCCGCCCACCAGACCCAGCAGTGGCGAGGGATGTGGATCTCATAGTGGTGGCGGGCAAAGTAGCTTCACCCGACTCAGCCTCTTACCTTGCCATTCGCCTCCTTCCCTGCCGCCCACCAGACCCAGCAGTGGCGAGGGATGTGGATCTCATAGTGGTGGCGGGCAAAGTAGCTTCACCCGACTCAGCCTCTTACCTTGCCATTCGCCTCCTTCCCTGCCGCCCACCAGACCCAGCAGTGGCGAGGGATGTGGATCTCATAGTGGTGGCGGGCAAAGTAGCTTCACCCGACTCAGCCTCTTACCTTGCCATTCGCCTCCTTCCCTGCCGCCCACCAGACCCAGCAGTGGCGAGGGATGTGGATCTCATAGTGGTGGCGGGCAAAGTAGCTTCACCCGACTCAGCCTCTTACCTTGCCATTCGCCTCCTTCCCTGCCGCCCACCAGACCCAGCAGTGGCGAGGGATGTGGATCTCATAGTGGTGGCGGGCAAAGTAGCTTCACCCGACTCAGCCTCTTACCTTGCCATTCGCCTCCTTCCCTGCCGCCCACCAGACCCAGCAGTGGCGAGGGATGTGGATCTCATAGTGGTGGCGGGCAAAGTAGCTTCACCCGACTCAGCCTCTTACCTTGCCATTCGCCTCCTTCCCTGCCGCCCACCAGACCCAGCAGTGGCGAGGGATGTGGATCTCATAGTGGTGGCGGGCAAAGTAGCTTCACCCGACTCAGCCTCTTACCTTGCCATTCGCCTCCTTCCCTGCCGCCCACCAGACCCAGCAGTGGCGAGGGATGTGGATCTCATAGTGGTGGCGGGCAAAGTAGCTTCACCCGACTCAGCCTCTTACCTTGCCATTCGCCTCCTTCCCTGCCGCCCACCAGACCCAGCAGTGGCGAGGGATGTGGATCTCATAGTGGTGGCGGGCAAAGTAGCTTCACCCGACTCAGCCTCTTACCTTGCCATTCGCCTCCTTCCCTGCCGCCCACCAGACCCAGCAGTGGCGAGGGATGTGGATCTCATAGTGGTGGCGGGCAAAGTAGCTTCACCCGACTCAGCCTCTTACCTTGCCATTCGCCTCCTTCCCTGCCGCCCACCAGACCCAGCAGTGGCGAGGGATGTGGATCTCATAGTGGTGGCGGGCAAAGTAGCTTCACCCGACTCAGCCTCTTACCTTGCCATTCGCCTCCTTCCCTGCCGCCCACCAGACCCAGCAGTGGCGAGGGATGTGGATCTCATAGTGGTGGCGGGCAAAGTAGCTTCACCCGACTCAGCCTCTTACCTTGCCATTCGCCTCCTTCCCTGCCGCCCACCAGACCCAGCAGTGGCGAGGGATGTGGATCTCATAGTGGTGGCGGGCAAAGTAGCTTCACCCGACTCAGCCTCTTACCTTGCCATTCGCCTCCTTCCCTGCCGCCCACCAGACCCAGCAGTGGCGAGGGATGTGGATCTCATAGTGGTGGCGGGCAAAGTAGCTTCACCCGACTCAGCCTCTTACCTTGCCATTCGCCTCCTTCCCTGCCGCCCACCAGACCCAGCAGTGGCGAGGGATGTGGATCTCATAGTGGTGGCGGGCAAAGTAGCTTCACCCGACTCAGCCTCTTACCTTGCCATTCGCCTCCTTCCCTGCCGCCCACCAGACCCAGCAGTGGCGAGGGATGTGGATCTCATAGTGGTGGCGGGCAAAGTAGCTTCACCCGACTCAGCCTCTTACCTTGCCATTCGCCTCCTTCCCTGCCGCCCACCAGACCCAGCAGTGGCGAGGGATGTGGATCTCATAGTGGTGGCGGGCAAAGTAGCTTCACCCGACTCAGCCTCTTACCTTGCCATTCGCCTCCTTCCCTGCCGCCCACCAGACCCAGCAGTGGCGAGGGATGTGGATCTCATAGTGGTGGCGGGCAAAGTAGCTTCACCCGACTCAGCCTCTTACCTTGCCATTCGCCTCCTTCCCTGCCGCCCACCAGACCCAGCAGTGGCGAGGGATGTGGATCTCATAGTGGTGGCGGGCAAAGTAGCTTCACCCGACTCAGCCTCTTACCTTGCCATTCGCCTCCTTCCCTGCCGCCCACCAGACCCAGCAGTGGCGAGGGATGTGGATCTCATAGTGGTGGCGGGCAAAGTAGCTTCACCCGACTCAGCCTCTTACCTTGCCATTCGCCTCCTTCCCTGCCGCCCACCAGACCCAGCAGTGGCGAGGGATGTGGATCTCATAGTGGTGGCGGGCAAAGTAGCTTCACCCGACTCAGCCTCTTACCTTGCCATTCGCCTCCTTCCCTGCCGCCCACCAGACCCAGCAGTGGCGAGGGATGTGGATCTCATAGTGGTGGCGGGCAAAGTAGCTTCACCCGACTCAGCCTCTTACCTTGCCATTCGCCTCCTTCCCTGCCGCCCACCAGACCCAGCAGTGGCGAGGGATGTGGATCTCATAGTGGTGGCGGGCAAAGTAGCTTCACCCGACTCAGCCTCTTACCTTGCCATTCGCCTCCTTCCCTGCCGCCCACCAGACCCAGCAGTGGCGAGGGATGTGGATCTCATAGTGGTGGCGGGCAAAGTAGCTTCACCCGACTCAGCCTCTTACCTTGCCATTCGCCTCCTTCCCTGCCGCCCACCAGACCCAGCAGTGGCGAGGGATGTGGATCTCATAGTGGTGGCGGGCAAAGTAGCTTCACCCGACTCAGCCTCTTACCTTGCCATTCGCCTCCTTCCCTGCCGCCCACCAGACCCAGCAGTGGCGAGGGATGTGGATCTCATAGTGGTGGCGGGCAAAGTAGCTTCACCCGACTCAGCCTCTTACCTTGCCATTCGCCTCCTTCCCTGCCGCCCACCAGACCCAGCAGTGGCGAGGGATGTGGATCTCATAGTGGTGGCGGGCAAAGTAGCTTCACCCGACTCAGCCTCTTACCTTGCCATTCGCCTCCTTCCCTGCCGCCCACCAGACCCAGCAGTGGCGAGGGATGTGGATCTCATAGTGGTGGCGGGCAAAGTAGCTTCACCCGACTCAGCCTCTTACCTTGCCATTCGCCTCCTTCCCTGCCGCCCACCAGACCCAGCAGTGGCGAGGGATGTGGATCTCATAGTGGCAGCGGGCAGCACCAAAGTGGAGGTCAGTGCTGGGGGTGATGGGTGCTGGAAATCGAGGGGGCTTATTGGGTGCATGACGCAACGCAGTCACATGCGGCCATGGAACCATGTGCGCCTATCCACACCCCGCAGTGGCGAGGGATGTGGATCTCATAGTGGCAGCAGGCAGCACCAAAGTGGAGGTCAGTGCTGATCGTTGTGGTGAGGGGATGTGGTAACCAGGTGCCTGGGTGGGTGCATGAAGCAGTTACATGCTATGCTGAGGGTGGTGCTGGATGCATGGTGTGACCATCTGTTGTTATTCCCATGTAGCCATGTGCTGCTGTGTCTACGTATGTCGTGCTGCAATGTTGGGATCACATGCTGCCATGCCATGCCTTTCATGCCATGTTGACGTGCATTGCATACCATGCCCTGCATACAATCAGCCCTCCCATTCCCCTGCCATCCCTCTCCCTGTCCACATCCTCCTCTCCCTGTCCACATCCTCCTCTCCCTGTCCACATCCTCCTCTCCCTGTCCACATTTTCCTCTCCTTGTCGTTTGTCCTCGTCCTCAAACGACTGCTTCTAAGTTGACTCAAAAGCACCCCACTCCCTCTCCACATCCTCCTCTCCGTGTCCCCTGCCCTGCACTTCCCACCTCTCTTGTGTATCCATTCCATTCCCCTCTCTCCTTCTGTGCCTTTACTGCTCGCCAGACGCATGACATCGGGCGGTCAGGCCGAAGGGAGCACCGAGTGGTGGACGCCAGTAGAAAGCGGTTCAAAGTGGTGAAGCTCACAGCGCTTGCTGCCATCAACAGAGTGGAAGTCAGAGCAACCTACGACCCGCCTTTCAGGGTAATGCTCTTCACAGATAAATGCCCTTGGGGACACCGCAATTAACAGCACAACGCCCTTCAGGTCAATGCTCTTCACAAAATACTGCCTTTCGGGTAGTGCCCTGGGTTTCGGGTTTAGGATGCAGTGGCTTCGGAGTGACTCCTTCCAAAGTAACGCACTTCATCCATTCACCCAGGTGAGCGGGAGCGCATGCGAGTGGTGGTGAGTGCAGACAAGGAGGTGGAACTCGCACTGCCCCCCACCTCCTTCCACCCCTTTCCTCCATATCTCATCCTCTCCACGCCCTGCCATCAGGTGGAGACAGAGCCGGGTGAGCGGGAGCGCGTGCGCGTGGTGGTGAGCGCGGAAAAGGAGGTCGAACTGACACTGCCCTCCACCCCCTTCCACATCCATCCTCTCCCTCTATCATTGCACCACATGTGCTTTCAGGTGGAAACAGAGCCAGGCGAGGGGGAGCGCATGCGGGTGGTGGTGAGCGCAGACAAGGAGGTGGAGCTCACACTGCCCTCGCAGCGAGCCCGGGATGTGATGGTGCTGTGTCTGCGTGCGTTCATGCAGCAGCACCGCACAGCCAAGCACCATTAGAGGCTGGAACCGCACTGCATCGCGCAGATGCAGCGAGCTCGGGATGTCACGGTGCTGTGCCTACGTACATTCATGCAGCAGCGCCGCCATTCGGGGCTGGTACCGCACTGCACCACACTGCCAAGCACCATTATGGGCTGGTACTGCACTGCACCGTATTGCCAAGCATTAATATGTTGTGTTTCCATCCATTCCAGGGTCTACAACACATGACCGTGCGACTGGCCGCTGCAAATGTTCAGACCACTGCAATCAGCGTGCGCTTCGTTGCACGGAATTGCAGGTAGTCTGCTTACTTGATGTTACAATCCAGAAAATCCCAGCAAACAATGTCGATGCCCTGTAAGGACTATGAAGGCTCAATCACCATTTCATGTATGTACACTGCTTGAACTATACTACTATGAGACGTTCACCTGATGTTGGAAGGGTTGTGCAAGGAATTCAGATGGTCCCTTGTCTTTGGTGCATGTGCTCTGTTATTGTGATTGTCCTGCTGCTGCATGTCTTGTGGAATTGTGATTGTGTTTATGCTGTTTGTGCTTTGGAAGTTTGTATGCAATGTTGAAATTGAACTGAGAAGGGTCCTAAAGAACGATAAAATATCCTAAAAATATTAAAATACATTCAATAGCTTTGCTATAAGCATGCAGAAGTTCCTATGACTAAACAGCTGCTGGATCTTGATTCTTGATCTTGATTCTTCATCTTGGTTTCTTCTTGACCCCTCTTGGCCGCTAGAGGCAAATGCCTCTAGCGTTACACCCACACACCGCGATGAGGTGGAGGTCATTCGTGTGGGACCCTGTTGTTTGGGGGGGGGGAGGCACGGATGAAAATTTCAAAAAGGAAGGGGAAGGTTAAAATTATTACTGTAGCGGTGGGAAACACCTCTGCTCCTTGGTAGAAAAGATGCCAGGTTGTCAGAAGAGTTGCCCGAAGAGGCACGGAAAAACGCACCTGTACCAAATTACCTGACCCCAACCCCACCCCCCGCGCGCGCGGCCTAACTACACCCACCCAAACCCACCCCAACCTAATCTGCAATTGGGGAGGGGGAGGGGGAGGGGTATGGGGAGGGAGGGGAGGGGGGGTGAGGATGAAACCTCCTCCTCCAAGCTCCTCGCCGCCAGCGCCGTTGTCCCCGCCAGCGCCGTTGTCCCCGCCAGCGTTGTTGTCCCGCCAGCGCCGTTGTCCCCGCCAGCGTTGTTGTCCCGCCAGCGCCGTTGTCCCCGCCAGCGTTGTTGTCCCGCCAGCGCCATTGTTGCAGCCAGCAGCACCGTTGACCGCCAACGTCGCCGCCAGGACCGCCGTTGACTGCCGCTGTCGCCGCCAACAGCACCGTTGACCGCCGTTGTCGCCGCCATGACTGCCGTTGACTCCCGCAGGCTTCCGTGTCCTTGACTGGAATCTGCTCACACATTGCGATCCCACACATCAAGGTACCACGGAAAAGAGAAGAACGAAACCAGAGAGCGGAAATGCGAGAAAAACGAAACAAACGAAGAAAAAAACGAGAAACAAACGAGCATGGCTGAGAGAAGCGCCGCCAAGCGCCATCCGTCCCCCCGGAGAAGCGCCATGCGCTTTCCGCCGTTGACCGCCGCCGTCGCCGCCGCCGCCGCTCCCGCCGCTCCTGCCGCTCCTGCCGCGCAGTGCCGTGCCGTGCCGTGCCGTGCCGTGCCGTGCCGTGCCGTGCCGTGCCGTGCCGTGCAGTGCAGTGCCGTGCCGTGCCGTGCCGTGCACTGCAGTGCCCTGCAGTGCCGTCTGCCGTCTGCCGTGTCGTGCTTCGTGCGCTCTGCAGGAAGAAAGCAAAAGCATTAGAACCGAAACCTTGAAGGAAACGTAAGGAAACGAACGAATAAAATGAACGAAGGAAACGAACGAAGGAAAGCACCATCGCAGCGAGAGGTTGAACGACTTACCTGAAGGGGCAGCTGGTGCAGTGACGGTCAGTGGCGCAGTCACGGTAGCGAACCATCCGCCCGTGAGACGCGCCTTCCGCCAATGAGACGCGCCGCCGTCCGCCGTCGTGCTACGCTGTGCTTCGTGCGCTCTGCAGGACAGGAAGAAAGCAAAAGCATTAGAACCGAAACCTTTGAAGGAAACGAAAGGAATCGAACGGAAGGAAACGAACGGAAGGAAACGAACGAAGGAAAGCACCATTGCAGCTCAAAGAACCGAAAGGAAAGCACCTTGCAGCAAGAGGTTGAACGACTTACCTCAAGGCGCGGAGACGGTCAGTGAAGCGTCGCAAAGCGCCGTGAGACGTGCTTCGCCATACGTCGCCATCACCGCACTTCGCCACCCGAGAGCCATCGTCCGTGCGCCTTCGTGGTCAGGTTCTGCAGGAAGAATCACCAAAGAACACGTTAGCGAAGCGAACACGAAACGAAGCGAAGCCGCCAAGACAAGCTGAACAACAGAAGTACCAAAGTGCTTAACAGTGACGGACGACTTGTCTTGGCGACGGGAGAGGCCGTCAGCGGGACATGGCATCGTTGACATGGCGTCAGCGGGACATGGCATCGTTGACATGGCGTCAGCGGGACATGGCGTCAGCGGGACATGGCGTCAGCGGGACATGGCATCAGCGGGACATGGCGTCAGCGGGACATGGCGTCAGCTTGACATGGCGTTTGAAGTCTTGGCCAGCTTCGGTCGCCAAAAGGTCTGCATCAGAAAACGGCATCAGGTTAGTACTACGCATCAGAAAGCGGCATAAAGAAACGGCAGCGATGGGAAAGAAAAGCGATTGGAAAAGAAACCGTGCTTACCAGTGACGAATTGTCTTGGCGGAGCGGCAGCAACGGGACTTGTCTTGGAGCAACAGCAGGACTTGGCATCAGGAGCAACGGCGACGGCGCTCGTGACTGCAGGGGAGTCATGACGGTAGTCATGACGGCCGCCAAGAAGGTCGCCGAGACCTGAAAAGGAAAAAAGAAAGACGTAAAGAAACAGCAGGACACGAACGCAGCATGAGTTGGTACTAAACGGCAGGACATGAAACGCGGCACGAGTTGGTAAACGGCAGGACATGAAACGCAACATGAGATGGTAAACGGCAAGACATGAAAGGTCGAATGACTTACCTCAACTGGAGCAAGGCGCAGCTGATAGCAGATCGCCGGCTGAGAGAAGCGCCGCCAAGCGCCTCGGTAGACGCGCCATTCGCCGCGAAACGCGCCGTCCGCCCTAGAGACATGCCATCAGCCCGCGAAATGCGCCACCCGTCCGCGACACGCGCCGTGCGCCCGCGAGAAATGTGTCCGTGAGGCAGGCCGTGCTCCGTGCTTCAGGGGCCCTGCGCACGGAACGGGAAAAAACCAACAGCATTAGAACCGAAAACTTCGAGGCGGAACGGAACGACACGAAACGCAGCCACGAAGGAAAGGTCGAACGAGCTACTACCTCAACCGCAGCGAGGCGCTGCTGGTAAGCGACGGTCGCAGCTGGTAAGCGACGGTCGCAGCTGGTAAGCGACGGTCGCAGCTGGTAAGCGACGGTCGCAGCGTCGCGACCTCCGATCCGCCGAGCTCGCCATCCGTCGCCGCCCTTCGCCATGCGTCCCTTCATCCTTAAGGATGGCGAACTGTCAGGTTCTGCAGTAAGAAGGAACACGAATCAGCCAAGGAAGAAGTAAAGGCACGAAGCGAGGAAAAGGCACGAAGCGAGGAAATGGCACGAAGCGAGGAAAAGTCAGGAACCGAAGCGTAACCGCCAATGAAAGCTGAAAAGCGAGGCGCTAAGGATTGAAAACTTTACCGCTCCGTGCGAGGCGCTGCTGGTAGTAGCCGCCAAGCGTTGATTTGCTGAAGCGCCGCCAAGCTCCTCCGTCGTCCCCTCCACCAGGCGGCGTCCGTGCATTGCCGTGAACGGTAAATGCTCGCCAACGGTAAATGCACGGTCTGCAGGGAGACATAGAAACACGTTAGTGCTAGAGAATATGTTGCCGAAAAGATAGGACTCGAAAAGGGCTTCACTTACCATCTCGACTCGACGCATCTTGACAGCGCACGACAAGCCGATGCAGCCTATCCGCCTTTCAGGTTCGCGACTGTCAGGTGAGAGCCAACTGAGAGCCGATCATGGGGCTGGGCCAATCGGCCGGGTTGGGATTGGATGTCCCGTAGCTCGTAGCTTAATCCGTCAAAGACTCGTGAAGATCCTTCAACAAAGACTCGTCATGTAGATCTTGCAGAGGAGACCATGAGATCATGTATCAGTTGCGGTGAAAGGTTGCCATCGGAAACATTGAGGCTCCCGCAGCTATTGAAGAGAGCGAAGCTCTTGAAGAGCGAATACATGATCTCGCGGTGAAAATGTTGCCGCGATATTCGGCGCAGTACACGATTAGACCCAAGGCAAGCTTTAGCTCGCTCCTCACGGACTACCCACCCCCCACCCCACTCAACGCCGCAGCCTGCCATGGGTTTCATCGTGTACTGTCCGGGCCACTTCAGGTTGCTTCGGTTGCATGAGAAGTTGTCATTGTCTGCAAGAAAAAAAGGAAAAGAGTTAGAATCTTACTAGGAAAACCGCCAACAAATCTTAAAGACTTCAACCGACCAAAAAAGGCTGTAGGTAGAAGTTGAAAAAGTTGAGCTTACCTCCACTTGACCGTCTCTAAGTCGGTCGCCTTTGTGCTGCTGAGGAAGAGGCCGCGCTAGCAGCACCTTAAGCCAGCAGGGGAGAGGCCATGGGACAACTACAAGTTGAAGCTCTTTTTGCCGCAACGATCTTGGAGCGGAGATCGCGCCGTGATTTTTTCGCCGTGGAAGTTTCTTGGCGTGAAGATCTTCAAAAGACTCGCCATGTAGATCTTGCAGATGATTCATGTATCAGTTGCGGTGAAAGGTTGCCGTCGGAAACATTGAAGCTCCCGAAGCTCTTGAAGAGTGTGAAACTCTTGAAGAGCGTAAAGATGATATCGCGGTGAAAAGGATGCCGCGAAAATCGGCGCAGTACTCGGTTACACCCAAGGCACGCTTTAGCTCACT